TTCCACCCGGCTCTGAAGGGAGGACGTGCACGCCGGCCGGCTCCTCAGCTGTCCCCTCCAGCCACCACGCTGCTCCAGCGGTACGCTGACTACACCATCCTCCCTTCTGATGACAGCTCTTCACCCTGTACACCCATCTGATTGATGTCACAACCTACTACGGTTTTTAATGCTAATATTAACCTCAACCATTTGAGTGTTTCTACCTTTCAACCTTTATAAAATGGTATGCTGCACTTAGAGGCACTTCTTCTCCTTCTCTCACCCTACAGAGTCTGCTACAGCACTTTTTGGAAGCATTGCCCTTAGTGCCATATGGGCCATCCCAAGCTCATCCACAACAGCACCAGGATAGCCCAGGACTTTGCACAGTTTTTGCGCTGATCATCCCTCTCATCTCTTCTTGAAGGGAGTGCTGCTAATCTAATGTTACCTATATAAAAGACACCTGTCCACAGGAGCATTTAAACTATCAGATTCCAAACTCTCCACCATGGCAAAGACCAAAGAGCTGTCCAAGGATGTCAGGGACAAGATTGTAGACCTACACAAGGCTGGACTGGGCTACCAAAATATTGCCAAGCAACTTGGTGCAATCATCCGCAAATGGAAGAAACGCAAAACAACTGTCAGTCTCCCTAGGTCTGGTGCACCATGCAAGATCTCACCTCGAAGAGTGTCAATGATCATGAGAACAATGAGGAATCATCCTAGAACTACACATGAGGATCTTGTCAATGATCTCCAGGCAGCTGGAACTATAGTCACCAAGAAAACAATTGGTAACACACTACACCGACAAGGACTGAAATCCTGAAGTGCCCGCAAGGTCCCTCTGCTCAAGAATCCACATGCCCAGGCCCATCTAAAGTTTGCCACTGAACATCTGAATAATGCAGAGGAGGACTGGTTGAAAGTGTTGTGGACAGATGAGACGAAAATCTAGCTCTTTGGCATCAACTCACCTCGCCATGTTTGGAGGAGGAGGAATGCTGCCTATGACCCCAAGAACACCATCCCAACTGTCAAACATGGTGGTAGAAACATTCTGCTTTGGGAGTGTTTTTCTGCTAAGGGGACAGGACAACTGCACCGCATCAAAGGGACGATGGACGGTTCAATGTACCGTCAAATCTTGGATGAGAACCTTCTTCCCTCAGCCAGGGCATTGAAAATGGGTTGTGAATGGTCTATGGGCTCAAGACCAGAAGCAGTAGCGAGGCTGTGGACCAAGCCTCGTTCTCAGCCAGATTTCGGTTAGGGAAGGACTTCCGCTGTAAAGATGGCGGTGCCAGTCAGCATTCCCTTCCTGATGAAGTCGGTGAGGAGCCTCCAGGAATCACCCCTTGGAGTGTGGACCCAGTAGCCTATCGAAGGTGTTGCAGTCCCGAGGGGCCCTGCTGAGGATGTAAGGCGAGGCAGTGGCTTCAACCAGTGAGAATACCACAGGTGGTGAGTCTGACTCAGCTGGTGGGGGTAGAGTCCTTCCCCACTCCCCTACAGGTGTACCTAGGGAGAAGGAGTACCATTCTAACTAGGCCCCTTGTTTGTCTCTTCTTAGAGCCCTGTGGAACCACCCAGGAGAGCGCCCACAAGACACCTAAGGCCAAAACCATGCCAGACCCTTTTTGTTACGAATGTATCCACAAGTTGTCAGGGAAAGAAACCTCTGCAGTTATGGAGGTTTTTTTGTCAGTGCAAACAGAGCTGTTGGCCTCCTTACAATTCTTCGACAGCTCTGACATCCAGGGAGGTGGCTACTCGGTCCTCTTGGGAAGGATCATCTTCCCAGGAGGAGACTTTGGACGGGGGGGGGTTTGGGTTCCTCATCCTCTCAGGTCACAGAGGAGGCTGAGGTCTCTGACCAAAGCTTCCTAAAAGAGGGAAGAATTGGATGGTGTTAGCCAGGCTAGCGGGAAATCCAGACCGGGTGGAAGATGTGCAGCGGCTCCTAAGAGCTATTTATGCCTTAGAGGACATCCCAGAACCACCAACGCAGGTCTCGACCTAAGATAAGATGTATAGGGGGTTGGTGAGGCCGCAGGGTTGAGAGTTACCCATGCACCAAACTTTCAGAGATATGGTCTTGAGAGAGTGGAAGGATCCTGAGAGGTTTTAAACTTACAGACCTGGAAAAGGCAGTACACTTTTGGGGAGAAGGAGGAAGAGAAATTTCTCAAGACTCCCAAGCTAGGCACTGTAATAACACAAGTGTCTAAAAAAATCTGACCTTTCCTATGAGGATTCAGATAACATCAGAGATCAGATGGACCGTGGGTCTCAGACTCTGTTACGTAGAGCCTGGGTTGCCAATGCTGCTACTATGGCCCCTGCCCTGGCATCCGCTTGCCTTGCTATGATTACTGATGCCTGGATAGAGTATCCTGTGTCTCAGGGTACCAAGAAAAAGGGAGAAGTCCAGACAGAAAAGGTGTTAGAATACCTGGAGGTGATCAGTAAGGCAGTCTCCTACTTAGCAGACGCTGTAGTGGAGATGGTCAGGGCATCAGCTAAGACTGCAGCGCTTCTCAACTCACCCCAGTGTGGGTTAAAACCTGAGAGGGTGATCAGACGTCAAGAGCCTGACTCTGCAGTCTGCCCATTTGAGGGTTCTTTATTGTTTGGCTCAGGGCTGGCCCACGTGTTATCGGGGTCCACCGAAAAAGGGGAAAAAGTTCCCTGTCAAGGCCAAAAAGGATAAGGGTAAGAAGAGAGTCGTAGGTAGTAACTCAGAGCCCAGAATCTGGGGGAAGGAAGACCATGGGCACAGTGAGACCCTGTTCAGGTAACTACGAATGCAAGCGAGTGGGTCTGAGCACCAACAAGCCTAGGGCCCCTGAGAGCCACACTTAAGGGTGACCTCAAATTGCAGGAAACTGCTGGCAGTAAGTCAGGCCTTGAAGTCCTTCGAAGACAGGATCTGGGGAAAATAAGTTCAAATTCTGTCAGACAATCTAGCGATGGTGGCATACTTGAATCATCGGGGGGCACCAGTTCCTGGAATCTCTTGGACCTAGCGCAGGAAATTCTAGGATGGCCGGACAGCAGGGTCCTTTCAGTGTTGGTGGTCCACATAAAGGGGTCTGCCAACATGTAAGCAGATTTGCTCAGCCGACCGTTAATACGCCAGGGAGAGTGGGAACTCAACCTCGAGGTCTTTTTTTCAGGTAAGTCAAGTTTTTGGCAGCTCGGAAATGGACCTTTTTGCCTGCAGGAAAACCAGGAAGGTGAAGCGGCATTTTTCCCTGGCCCGAGAGCAGGGGACGGAGGGTCTGGATGCATTAGCGCAGGACAGGAATTTCGAACTGGCATTTGCATTCCCCCCTCTGGTATTGATCACGTGGGTACTACAGAAGCTGAGCCAGTCAAGCTGCAGACTGATCTTGCTGGCCCCGTGGTGGCCAAGAAGAGCCTGGTTTGCCACTTTGAAGAGGTGGGCCATGGCTTTTTAACCAAATCCATATTTAAGTCTGAGGTGCTTTTTAGGAATGTCTGTGGTTTTTAAAAATAAAAGGGGCTTTATGGCGACTTAAGTTTTAATATTTTTAACATTGCCTTATTTATCTCCTCCTCCCCTCCCCACCTGTGTCCAGCACCACACCCGGGGGACTAGCAGGGAGGGGAGAAACCTTACATTGTAATGAGCACTGATTGGGTGCTTGCCAGGAAAGGGGAGTGTTGGGCTCTCAACGCTCAGCAGAAGCACATCTGCTGAGCGAGTAAATGAGGCGCCAGGCCAAATGAGAAAAAGAAAATTTTATTCCTTCAGGTTACCCTCACACATGTAAGCACTTGGGTGCTCAGTACAAGCACGTGCTGAGCAGCCAAATCAACCTCCAGTGTCCACTCAGTTAAAGGATAGCTTCATCTTTTTAAAAAAAATAAATGCACATTTTTTTTCAGGAGCCTGGAAAGCATTGCACCAGTGAGCAGAAAATCGAGCCTCGGGCGATAGGATTTGCACATCCTTGAGGATGTAAATGGACAAATGGTCTGTTTTGCATGAAAAATTTTGAAAAAATGGCTCCAGGACCCAAGTGGTTAAGGACTGTAGCTGTAGGATGTAAAAAAATGGATGAAAAACTGATGTAAATTTAATCCGTTTTTGTCTTTGAAAAAACAGGACTGAACTGAGGAAATGAATGGCCTGCATGTGTGAAACATAAACAAAATAGGGTGCACAGGCTTAGTGCATTATTCCATAAAGTTTAATGAAAATATGCTAAAAAAAGAAACACAAACATATTGGGTCCATAGGCCTTGTCAGCAGCTGGTTTGACAGCACACCAGCTGCTGACAAGGCTTATGCTTGTAATCACAATGGAAGAAATAACATTAACCACTTGCCCATCTGAGGATTTATCCCCCTTCCTGACCAGGCCATTTTTTGCTGTTCAGCACTGTGCTATTTCAACTGGTAATTGTGCAGTCGTACAATGCTGTACACAAACAAAATGTGTGCTCTTTTTTGCACACAAATAGAGCTTCTTATGGTGGTATTTGATCGCCTCTGTGTCGGCCCTCCGGTGCGCAGCGCCCTTTTGTGTTAGTACAGCCAGAGCAACGTACGGATAAATTGCTTTGCCTGTAGCTGCCACCCAGTCGCAGTACATTGCAGGTGGGAAGTGGTTAAATGTCCAGTTCACTTCTAGTCCATTCACACTGTGTTCAATCAAGCCCTGATGAAGAAGGCATTGGACCCCCAAAATGTGTTAGCTGCTGTATGGGTTTTTCTCCTGACTTTTATTGGAATAAACTTGTATCTGGACCTCTTAGCAGTAGCGTAGGGCTTTTCTTTCCATTTTTGGTACAAAAAAGAGAGACCGCAATAAAAAAAACTTACAGATGTCCTAATTCCTCTCCTCTAACACCAAAAAGAGTGCTGTCTTCAGTTATACTTTTAAATATTCACTTTCAGTCGCTATGTGGTGTGTATGTGTTTTTTATTTTTTGGGTGTTTTTTATACTTTACCTTAATTATGTTTCCCTAAAATTGACAGCTCTAAATGACATGGAAGATGTGTCACAAGATGAATTAAGACTTCCAGAGCAAGAAAATGAAGTTCCAAATGTGGCAGTGATACCCATGGATATGGATGAGGAACGAGCAGGTCTGTCTTGTTCAGGTTTTTTTTTTTTTTTTTTATTATTTTCTATTTATCAATAACATCAAATAACAATTAGGCACTTGCAGATTTATTTTTAAATGCGACTTATTTTAAAGATGTATGAAAATCCATGTCAATAGAAAGATTTGCTAAGTTAAATTTCATAATTTGACACTGTTTGTTTTTGCTTTCGTAGGTCTGTAAATAAAAATTAAAGCATCTTTAGCAAGCCTGTAAAAGCTAAACTTCACCTGTAAATTATATGTAAATTATTTACATATTCCTAATGAGCAGTAAAAACACTTAGTAGAACTTTAGTTAGAAAATAAAGTCCTGCTAGATCAGTTCAGGCTGGCCCCTTTTGCTATGTAAAACACTAAACATATTTTAAATGCCTATACTGCTTAAAATCCAGTAATCTATTGTGTCACCATGCTCTGCTCATGCTCATTTGTTCTGATTTTGGCACTGCCAAAAATCCAGTCTGATCTGCTCACAAATTTACTGCTGCTCAAGAGCTCTGGCCTTAACAAAATGGCAGCCTCCAGAAGAAAGAACCCAGAACAATGCTGGAGGAAATTTACTGCACACATTAATTAATTTGGGTAGCATAATTATTCATGGTGAATGTATGTTCCATTGCTGAAGAACATTATTTGTTTTTATGGGTAAAGTTCCACTTTAAAACAAGTCCTCATTCACCTCTTTAGTTATAGGCAATGTTGAGAAATTTGTCTTCAAATTCACAACAGATTTAGTGGTCTTAGCTTTTTTCTGTGAAAAGTAGGATCTGGATAGCTTGCCAGTCTGCTGAATTGCACAATCATCAGGTGTTTCTGAGCTGTAAAAAAAAATAAATAAATAAATTTTGACACCTGACTTTAGATCCTTTGTGTATTTTGAGACTCTGAGAAACAAATTACTGTATTTTTCACTCCATAAGACCGTTTTAGAGAAGGAAAACAAGAAAAAAAAATATTCTGAACCAATGGACTGCAGATATAGTACAGAAAATGACCAGATACTGCGGATGTGCTACAGGAGATGACTAGAGACTGCAGACATAGTACAGGAGATAACCAGTGACTGCAGACATAGTACAGGAGATAACCAGTGACTGCAGACATAGTACAGGAGATGACCAGAGACTGCAGACCTAGTACAGGAGATGACCAGAGACTGCAGACCTTTGGGGATCGGGTACCCGAATTTGACAGGTACCTGCTCCCACTTCCACTGTGATTGCTTAAGTTGTCCTCCCTCCCCTTAGTCTTCTGGGACACGTGACAGGTCTCACAGGACTATGGAGCCATTCAGCAGCGCTTCTCGCATATGTGCAGTGGACATCCTGCTGTGAAGCCGCAAGCTGTCACAGCCGGGTGCCCACACTAAAGATTCCGGCGCCAGGGAGAGAGCACGGCCGGTGAAGCCAGCTGTGGTGAGGAAACTGCTGGACCGAGAGACAGGTAAGTGGCTGTATTTTAAAAGTCAGCAGCTAGTTTTTTTTGTAGCTTCTGACTTTTTTTTTTTTTTTTTTTTTTCCATCTGGAACTGCTTTTGGCGCTGCCACAGAAGAGCCGAGCGGCTGCCCCGATATTCTAACACCGTGGCAGCGACAGGGGAATACCGGGCCGGCTGCTCCATATTCACTCCATAAGACGCACAGACATTTACCCCAATTTCTTGGGGGGACTAAAGTGCGTCTTATGGAGCAAAAACTACGATACTTCAGATACAAGTAGCTGGAAAGGTCCAGAATAGGTGGTTTGTTTTTTCTTTTTAAACACTTTTTCTGCTTTATCAGAATATGTAAATATGTTAGTGTGTTTACTCATATTCACATCAGGGTATCAGTAGGGCAGCGGCTATTGACTTTTTGTTTGGTTTTTTTGGGGGTTTTTTTGAGGATCAACCCACAAAATTGTCATCCTGATCCACAATGTTCGTATCTAGTCAGTGACTGAACTGGATCAAGCATGAAAAATAGGAACTCAGATTCACTGGTTGATGCAGATTAATGATTCAATTTAATGTATTATTAATGATTCACTAGGTAGTGAAGCCAGGATCATGATGGCAACTCCAGCCCCTAAAACAATCTAGCCACAGCAGATCCTATATATTTTTCTCCATTTTTTTTTTGTCCACTTTGATTACTTTTCATTTAGAAATGCTCACCCATAAACATCACTGTAATACCTGTCTCCAACCGGAGTTTCCTGATGACACTTTACCAGATGACCGAATACCACAATTGAGTGTTGTGCTACCAGATCATGGCAGTTAATGCTGACCTGCTGAACATATGGGGATAACCCACCTGAAATAAGGATGTTGTGTTTTTTTTATTTTTTTTGTTTATTTGGAGAGGGGAGGAGGAGGAGTTATTTTTAGCATTCATGTTGTTTTTTGTTTTCTTTGTTTTTTTTTTTTTCCTCTACTTCTTTAGGACCCAGTGGTTTACAGCCAGCTGTGAAAGCTGCGCCAATTACAGTCCATGACTCTGACAGCGAAGATGATGATGACATTGTTGGTAGTCACGGTGAGTGTGGCACTTCAGTTGACTACCCTCCTGAGAACAACAAAGGTGAACAATTGGCAGAATCCCAAGAGGGCACAATAAGTAAGTGAATGGGCTCATCAATTGCTTGTAAACTTAGTCTAGTTGGTGTTGCGCTCCAGGTCTACAGGAGCAAATTCATATAACTGTATTGGAATTATATGCCCGTTTGATGAGCACAGTTTTGCCATTCTGCACTTAAAGTCCAGCTTCAGGAAAAACAATTCTCCCTTGCAGTGGGAATGCCCCCACACTACAAGGGTTAAATGTTCATTTAGGCCTAGTGGACAGGAAAAAGCATTTTTACTTACCTGATCCTCCACTTCCTTGGCAGCTGGCGCTCACCTATCCTGTAGCAGTGGACTATTCCTGGCTTCCTCATGTCCAATGCCAGCCTGTGGACTCTGTATTGGTAGTGATGATGTCAGAGGACCTGCAACCGCAGGTTTTATGCCTTGCAGTGCTGGAGGAGCCACACTGAACGGAAAGATTTTTTTTTTTTTTGAGTTAACCTTTTACTAATTACATTAAAAATTTATTTTACGTCCATTTGTAAGGCACAGGAAGTCTTTAAATTTCATGTTAGATTTCCGCCTGCAAGAGAATTACTCACTAGCAAACAAAAGAATATAAGCCAGTCTTGGGCAATCCTTCTTATTACCAGCACGCTTCAGTGTTTTTTTTTTTTTTTTGTTTTTTGCTAGTGTCCTCTAGTGCATATATGTTATTTCTCAGTTGTGGTGTGTTAAAGGTTAACTTTTTTTGCTTTATATTTCTTCAATTTTGTGTTCTTCAATCTAGACTTTTCTACTTTTTATTACACCACTGCTAGAGCGCCTCACTTTGTAGCTGTACAGTGCGGCCATCCCTAGCCTGACTTTTGGAATGCTGTTGCAGGAATAGCCTGAAAGTGACCTTTATTAATGGCATTCCAGAAATATACCTCCACCACCCGCGTGCCTGTGTGTTTCTGTGTGTGTGTGTGTGTGTTTTGGTTTTTCACAATAAGGCAGTATGGAGGTGATTAACCATTTCCATAACGGGCACTTTTACCCCTTCCTGCCCAGGCTATTCACGTTTCAGCGCTCTCACACTTTGAATGACAATTGCGCGGTCATACAACACTGTACCCAAACTAAAATTTTATCATTTTCTTCACACAACTAGAGCTTTCTTTTGGTGGTATTTAATCACCGCTGGGGTTTTTATTTTTTGTTAAATTAACAAAAAATTACTGAACATTTTGAAAAAAAAAAACACGTTTTTCTTTGTTTCTGTTATAAAAGTTTGCAAATAAATAATTGTTCTTCATAAATTTAGGCCAAGATGTATTCTACTACATGTCTTTGGTGAAAATAACCCAAATTAGAATGTATTTTTTAGTTTGTAGGAAAGTTAGAGAGTTCACAAACTATGGCATAGATCTGAATATTGATGAATCCGGAAGTACTGACAGCCAATCTAATTTCTTGAGGTCCAAGAATGTCAGAACAGTACAGATATCCCCCAAATGACCCCTTTTTGCAAAGTAAACAGTCCGACGTACTTCATAAGAGGCATGGCGAGTTTTTTGAAGTTGTATTTTTTTGTCATTTTTTGGAAAATGAAAAAAAAATTTTAAAAAATTAATTTCACTAATTTTCTTTTTTACTTACTGTCACCAGTGCAGTACAGCCTCATCATATAGCTGGCATGGCAGTGATCAGAGACATTGACTGGTGACAGTATGAAAAAAAACAAAATATATATATATTTTTTTTTTTTCTATTATTAATTTTTTTTATTACTTTTTTTCTTTATTTTTTATTTTTTTTTTTTCATATTTCACTATGTCGAAAGTAGTACAATGTTTCCATAGTAACATTGTACTACTTTGGGGAAGTGATCAGTATTTTTTTTTTTTTTTGTCTTTTACACAATTTGCTTCTAGCAAAGAATTTCTTTGCTAAAGGGAAGCATTTACCTGAATGACATTGATTCATTCAGGGCTTTTTTTTTTTTTTTTTTTGTTGTGCTTAGGTGTGATTTGGCCACAGCTAATCACATTACATGTGCATGTGATCGCTGTGACCATTCACAGCTAGACACTAGTATTAAATGGATGGCATGTATGAAGCCATCCATTATATACAACTGTCATGTGACCTGCTGTGATTGGTCACAGCAGGTCACATGGTGCCGGCAGCGGGGGCCGGTACTCAGATATGTCATCGGCTGTGTCCGAGGTACACGGCCGTTGACAGATCGTGCCGCTGCGCAGCTCTGCAAGCGCGAAAACTGTGCATGTACGGGAGGACGCCATATGGCGTCCACCCGGAAATCTAGAGCCTTTTCCTGGCCGCCAAAACGGCTATTGGCCGGGCGGCTATTGGTTAAAGGTACCCAACTGCTTAAGTGGTTGGAAACCTTTGCTAGAACTTTATTTTCACTAGAGGATACTGTCCCCCTCCCTATCCTAACTGTGTGACTTTATCAAACTATGGCTGGTTAGTCAAATGCTAAAACAGCAAAAACTGATGGCTGGGCTTTTGAGGCACTACATATTGACCAGTTTCTTTAAAATTGTATGTTATTTAAATAACAAAACAATAAAATGTTTCTCATTTAAAACCAAAACAGAACAGAAAAGTAATACAATACAGTGACCTCAATTACAAGGAAATGTTTTAATATCCTTCAAGGATAATTCAAATATACACTGCTCAAAAAAATTAAAGGAACACTTTTTAATCAGTATAGCATCAATGCAATTAAACTCCTGGGATATTGATCTGGTCAGTTAGGTAGCAGAGGGTGTAGTTTAATCAGTTTCAGCTGCTTTGGTGTTAATGAAATTACCAACAGGTGCACTAGATGGGCAGCAATGAGACACCCCCCCAAAACAGGAATGGTTTTACAGGTGAAGGCCACTGACATTTTTTTTTCTCTACTATTTTTCACTAGTTTTCCATCTGGCTAGGGTCGGTGTTACTACTGGTAGCATGAGGCGATACCAGTCCATCTCCTCAAGTATGGCACATCAATTTGTGCCATTACCAGGAGGTGTGCTGTGTCTCCCAGAGCATGGAGGAAAGAACCCAAGAATCCAAAATCTCAGGAGTACCAAAAGGTTTTTCTAATAAAGATCTTAAAAAAATATGTATATTAAATAATTAAATACATATAATGTTCCAGATTGATTGCTGCCATTAAAAAACTTAACATTGCGGTAGTAAATTAAACCGCAGAGTCCACAGGAGCTGACAGAAAAGGGAGGACCGGAGACTCCTCTAAAACTGTTCCATTGCCAAGATAGGGCTGATATACTTCACACAACGCATGGCAGAACACTATACTTGGATCTACAGCTCTGGCCAAAAGTTTTGAGAATGACAGAAATATTAATTTACCTCCAAGGAAACGTGCAGTCATCATTTCTTTGCACAAAGGAATTCACAGGCAAGGATATTGCTGCTACTACGATTGCACCTAAATCAAGCATTTATCGCAGTGGTTCGCAACCTTCCTAATGCCCTGAACCTTTAATACAGTTCCTCATGTTGTGGTGAACTCCAACCATAAAATTATTTATTTATATATATAACAATAGCTTTAATAATACAAAAGATGCTACATGGCATAGTTCAGTAAATACAGTTAATTAAAGTTTCCTATGATTTACCATTCTCTGTGTTGTTTTTTTTACATACCTGTTACTATCACAAGGGGGCAGTATTCATATCAACCACAGCTGCATATAAAAAGAACGATCCGCATCCAGATTAAGTTCCCATGGTACAGATTTTTTTTTTTTTTTTTTTTTTGCAGTAGTTGATGATTTTACAGTACATGATTTTACATTTACCCAGTAATTATAATTCATGAAGTGTAGTTTTACCTCCAATACTGCTGCTTTCAACACAGTAGCTGCTTTTAACAGAGTAGCTGCTTTCGTCACAGTGGCTGCTCTTTACACTGACTGGTCCACATAAGTACATTATGGCACCAACCCTGTCACATACACCTGTATTTGTACGGGGTGTATGTGATGGGGTTGACACAATGATGTCATCACGCCGGGTACTCGTATGTGGGCGTGACTGCATGTGGGCGGACCCGCCTGGGGACGGATAGACAAGCAGGGTCTTGGTTCCTAAGACCATCGGAAATATGTGTTTTCCAGTGGTCTTAGGTGACCCCTGTGAAAGGGTCGTTCGACCCCCAAAGGGGTCGCGACCCACAGGTGGAAAACCACTGATTTATCAGATCAAGAAGAGAGGTTCAATTGTTGTGAAGAAGGATTCAGGGTGTCCAAGAAAGTCCAGCAAGCACCAGGACTATAGCCTAAAGTTGATTCAGCAGTGGGTTCGGGGCACCACCAGTGCAGAGTTTGCTCAGGAATGGCAGCAGGTGTGAGTGCATCTGCGCATACAGTGAGGCGAAGACTTTTGGAGGATGGCCTGGTGTCAAGAAGGGCAGCAAATAAGCCACTTCTCTCCAGGAAAAACATTAGAGACAGACTGATATTCTGCAAAAGGTACAGGGATTGGACTGCTGAGGACTGGGGTAAAGTAATTTTCTCTGATGAATCCCCTTTCTGATTGTTTGAGGCATCTGGAAAAAACATTGTCTGGAGAAGGTGATCACTACCATCAGTCCTGTGTCATTCCAACAGTAAATCATCCTGAGACCATTTGTGTGGGGTTGCTTCTCAGCCATGGATGGAGCACCTTGCCATAAGTGGCTTGGGGAACAAAATATCAACATTTTTGGTCCATGGCCAGGAAACTCCCTACACCTTACTCCCATTGAGAACTTGTGGTCAATCCTCAAGAGGCAGGTGAACAAAAAACCTCCCACAAATTTTGACAAACTCTCCAAGTATTGATTATGCAAGATTGGTCTGCCATCAGTTTGGATGTGGCCCAGAAGTTAATGGCATGCCAGGGAGAATTGCAGAGGTCTTGAAAAAGGTTAACACTGCAAATATTGACTCTTTGCATAAACTTAATGTAATTGTCAAAATCCTTTTGACACTTCTGAAATGCTTGTAATTATATTTTTGATATACCATAGTAACATCTGACAAAAATATCTAAATACACTGAAACGGCAGACTTTGTGAAAATTAATATTTGTCATTCTCAAAACTTTTGGCCAGGGCTGTATTTACAGAAAGGAAAAAAAAGAAAGATCATAAATGTGTTTTTGTATGAAACTGTAAACAACCTAGATATTCCAGATATAAAGTGTAGGTTCAGGCTCCACTATTTTGTATAGGAGAGGTCTAAAACCTTACAAATCGCATATGGTTTAATTGTTATACTGTGCCTTTAAAAAAGAAAAGTTTGTAAGACCCTGATTATTAACGCACTGTTAATATATGACTCTATTGGTCTTGACTAAATGTAATCCTTGCCATCGATGTACTTCTCTGTTTTGCTTGTCTTTTTTGTTTTTCTCTCCTTGTTTTCTGTAACATATGATTTCTTTGAAAACCAATAAAAATTGTTAATATAAAAAAAAAAAAGAAAAGTTAATATTACAATTAACTACACTCCAATATCTGCAATTTAAAAAAGAACATCAAGACATATACTGACAACAATATTATACATTTTGCTTAAAGTACCTATGCAAAGATACTTCATATTCTTTAAAGTTATATCCATTGTGCTTTTAACTACTATAGATGCAAAAAATTGAGCATTAATGTTTTTAATTTTGAGGCTTCTAATTGATCAAGGGAGGCACTTCACAGACAATTTCTTAATGGTAAGCAAACTGTATTCACTTAATGTCAGTCGGCATTATATCAGTACAGGCAGATGCAGGGGTGGACTGACCATGTGGGCATTCGGACACTGCCCGGGGCTAGCAGCGGGCCCGCCGCATGACTGAGTTGCCAACCGTCTGGAGCAGACACATGGTATGAGAGCTCTGCTGCCTCTCAGCATATACTGGCCGATCTGCAGATTTCCTAGGCATCTCTACCCTGCTGACTCTGCTCTTTCTTCCACACTCCTTTGTGAATACCAGCAGGTAGTTGAAACATGAGTACATTCAGCTCTCACACCGATCCCACCTGTCACTGTCTGATGCTTCTGTGATCCTTCCTGTGCTTGGTGATGGAGGCGAAGTACGCTCCAGCCAGCTACTGTCTCTGCTGGTCTTCTGGCCACAGCAGGGTGCCTCTCTTTTTAATGCTTGTTTTGAGTACTATATTTTGAGACCAAGCATGTAACCAGTGAATTCAGCATTACTGCTCCCTATACTTGTTCCAGGACAATGACTGAAAGTATTGAAGATTTTAGATCCACATGAAAACAGGAGGTCCGCAATCGCCGCCTAGTATAGGTTTCCTTTAAAGTGTATCGTTAGGCATTTTTGTTTGTTTTTTGAATAGTGAGGAAGGGTTAGACCTTCTATTCTGTTTTTATTGCTGGTTCTCCTTTGAGGTGATTCACTCTTCCCCAATGACACACAGGCAGAAAAAAAAAATAACTGTCAGGTGTTTTAACCCTTACCTGTTCTATCCAAAATATTTAAAAATGTTTTGGCTACACAAACTTTAAAGCATCACTGTAATGTGACTGTGGCAGCTAGTGCAAATAATGTGTGTAGAAGATTTACTGTGCTTTTCAATGTGTACCTGTATTCTCTGCAGCTGTAAGTGGGAAAGGCAAAGCACCCTTGCGCAAGAAGTGCAGTGTTACAGCCAAGAGTCCGCCAGAACAGGCCACACCAAGTGAAGAGAGTAGCTGTGAAAAAGGGTGTCAAGTAACTAGTGAACAGATCAAGGCAGATATGAAGGCAGCCAGCGATCCAACTGAGAGGAACAAAAGCAAAGATGGTTGTGGTGATGTGGGCACAGCAGGTGGAGTTATAAATGCTTGTGAATCTGCTCCGCAACAAATGGACAGCGATCCCTCTTTGAATGAAAGTTCTGATCTTTCGGAAGAATCTGATTCTTGTACATGCAATAGGACCGGAGAACCCAGTGCTGCCCCAGAGCAAGCACCTAGCGCACGGTGTCCCCATTGTTCCAGAAATATGAACCTGGAGCTGACAATGCAAAGAGGAAATAGTGGGGGTAGTGAAGGGCCTCAGCCCTCCACTAGTCGGTCCTTTCCAGGAAATGGCCCAGAGTACACACTCAGGACTCCACAAAGTGCAACACACAGGACTAATACAGAAACAGATTCAATTGCTTCCTCTGCCTTATGCCGGGCAGAACAGCATGGACAGAATTCTCAGAGGCCTCTCACAAGGGCAAGATCAAGGCTTTCTCAGGTGTCACTGGTGTCTGATGGTGGTGAGTGCCTTTACTGCTTCTCTGTTTACATTTTTTAACCTTTTTGGCACATTTTTTTTTAATTGGTGTAATTGTTAAAGAAGTTACCTTTTCAGAACAAATATTTTTGTTTAACGTTTATTTTTAAGAAGCAACACCAAAAAATAGGAAAGCTGTGAAGAGGAAACGCACTGCAGATAAGTCTACAAGCACTAGTGATCCAGTCATTGAGGATGACCATGTACAGGTATAGTGTGTTGTGAAGCCTTTCTATATTTGAATATGCATGTGTTTTTGTGTTCTGCATTATTTAATATTTCTATATACTGTAAATGTGGAATGGTTGTGTATGGCCATATATTGAAAATGTGGTCACAACTGGGGGAATTTACTAAGACTGGAGCAGGAGTCTGTGGCAACCAAACAGTTCTAGCTTTTGTTTTCAACAAGCTGGGGTTAGAATCTGATTGTTTATTAGGCGTAGCTACTCCAAATTCTGTCTGCTCCAATTTTAGTAAATTCCCCCCCAATGAGTTTAGAGAAGCAAAACAAACCAGGTGGAGAACCTGATCATGGGACCTGTCAAAGTTACAGGACCAGCTCTCCTCCAGTCATTGACCTCTGTCTGCTCAATTAAACAGCAATAACTTCCATGGGGCTCTGCAGCTACACACTTTAGCCTGAATTTTTATGAATTGTGGACTGTGGTATGTGTAGTGGAAATTAGTATAACAGAGAATGAGCAAGCTGTCAGTTAAGTGGACCCCATCAAACTAAGAGTGTTGTGTTTTACTAAACTGCTTCTCTTCTGAAGTACTCCTTTTGGGAAAGGCCTTATTAGATTGGTATATCAAATTCCATATGTGAAATACACTCTTATTAAAATTGATGCTTTGAAACTTGATAACATCTCATTCTGAATTGAAGCAGGTTGTATGGCTATGATGCTGATTCAATGGTTTCAATTACCTAACCCAATAGCAAGTATAGTGTTCAGCTACCTATACATACCTACAAATACCTGTAACAGCCTCTGTGCCCATATGCAAGGCTCTTCTGAAGATGCAAAGCTGAAACAATGTTGTATAGCGTTGCTGCGTGTCTGCTCTCTCCATCCCCTACATTTCTGTTGTGCCCATCATCCTTATAGGCTGCCTCATTGGCTAATGAGAATGCATAGGAGGTGGAAGGAGCAGGCAAGCTTCATTATACCAAGGAAGTGCCAGAGCCTGGATCACAATGGCCCAGCACATGGGCATGCAGACTGCTGAAGGTCTCTCTTGTTTCAAAGTACCTGCATGTATATGTGTGTGTGTGTGTGTGTGTGTGTGTGTGTATATGTATATGTGCTGTGTGTGTGTGTGTGTGTGTGTGTGTGTGTGTGTGTATATGTATGTGTGTGTGTGTGTATATATAGTTTAGTAATAATTTTATGCCAGGCAAGCATATCCCTGGACGGTTTTTTTTTTTTTATTATTCTATGTTTTCTGTTATTCTACATAATTTTTGCATAATTCAAATGCAGTACTGTCCAGCCATTGGGAAAAGCAGTGTGAGTATACTCTTGACTCCTTTACTTTTTATCCTTTTGCCCAGGTTTTGAACCTTAAATCCAAGAATCTTGTGGGTATTACACTAACCAACTGTGGCATTACTGATTTGGTTCTTAAGGATTGCCCAAAAATGATGTTCATTCACGGTGAGTAAAAGATGTATAAAGAGGTATAATGGTTATAATACATATATCCAGTATAATATTATAAAGGATTTATATGGCGCCAACAGTTTTGCGCAGCTCTTTACAACATGAGGGCAAGTAGTACAGTTACATTACAATTGAATACAGGAGGAATCAGAGGCCCCGTATTATATCACCTTCTGCTTTTTTTTTTTTTTTTCCCTTAATATTCCAGTAAATAACGTGGTACTCCTGACTAAATTCATGGCTAAAAGAACAAGTATGATATGGTGATACAGTTTCCTTGAAAAGAGTAGCAATTAAGGAAAAATTACACCTTTATCATTTAAAGTGTATCAAACCCAGAACAAAAATTAATTGTATTACAGGGTACAAATCCTTAGATGTGGTGGCTGCATTCGTTTTGGTATCTTTTTTGTTTCTTTTCTCCAGGCTCCCTTTTTTTTTTTTTTTTTTTTTTTTTTTTTTATCAACTGAGGATCCTGTAGCAACACACTACAATCCTATGATGACAAGACTGTATCAGGGCAACAGAAACTAGATAGAACTAGGAAACTATGGCCTTCTCCTATTGTCCATAACATCAAAGGGTGTGGTTCTTTAGTCCTTAGAGATCAATTTAACCGTTTATATACATGGGCTGGATGGTAACAGTGCAGGGGCGGGTGGCCATTTATAAACGACCTCCCCGCCCCTTATTTGTGCGCGCTCCCTGGAAGCGCGCCGCACCGCAATCCGGTGCCCGCTGTGTCCTCCAGACACAGTGGAGCACCGATCGTTGTACGGTACCTCTGTGTGAGTCCCGATCATGTGATCACTGATTGGCCAATCGGTGTTCACATGAAGAGTAGTAAGCAAGATGTCACTTCTGACATCATTGCTTACTACGTGTGAAATCTGTGAATGATAACAGAGGTCACATGGTACAAGGCTATTCACAACAGCCTTGTACCATGTGACAAGCTGTGACCAATCACAGCTCACACAGTATTTCTTCTCAAGAATGCAGCCAGAGAGAAGGAGAAATGATTGCTTTTACAGCCTTTATGGGTGTAAAAGCAATCTGTGTTAAAAAATCTTCATAACCCCCACAAGTAGTACAGTGTCACTATGGTGACACTGTACTGCTAGGGTGACAGTATGTAAAAAAAAAAAAATAAGATTGTAAAACAAAATTTGAAAAATGATAATTTTTAGTTATAAACTAATTTGGGTTATTTTTATTTTACTAAAAAGATAACTGAATAAAGTTTGTCCAAGATTTATGAAGAAAGATTATTTATTTGCAAAATGTTGTAATATTTTTCAAAATATTTTGGACTTTTTCATTTTTATAGCAAAAAAATAAAAATCCCAGTGGTGAATAAATACCACCAAAATAAAGTTTTATCTGTCTCAAAAAATGCTAAAAAATTCATATGGGTACAGTGTTGCATGAACGCGCAATTGTCATTCAAAGTGTGACAGCGCTGAAAACTGAAAATTAGCCTGGACAGGAAAAGGGTAAAGTGTCCGGATTTGAAGTGGTTAATTGATAAGGCAGCACAGAGCACAGGAAGTTATCAGCTCACAAAAGATCTAGAAGGATCAACAAGTATTTTTAAATTTATCAAACCATCCTTTAATGGTATACTTAACCACTTGCCCGCCTAAGGATTTACCCCCCTTAATGACCAGGCCTCTTTTTGCTACTCGGCGCTGTACTAATTCAACTGATAATTGCACGGTCATGCAATGCTGCACCCAAACGAAATTTACGTCCTTTTTTTCACACAAATAGAGCTTTCCTTCGGTGTACTTTGATCACCTGTGTGCTTTTTATTTTTCACGCTATAAACAAAAAAAGACCAAACATTGTGAAGAAAAACAATATTTTTTACTTTCAGTTATAAAAAATATATAGTAAACTCCGTTATAAATTTAGGCCAAAATGTATTCTGCTACATGTTTTTGGTAAAAAAAATCCCAATAAGTGTATATTGATTGCTTTGTGTGAAAGTTATAGCATCCCTATAAACTATGGTATAGATACTGCAATTTACGCCATTCTTTTGCTATACAGCGCTGCGCTAGTTTAACGGACAATTGTGCGGTCATGCAATACTTTTTTTCACACAAATAGAGCTTTCTTTCCGTGGTATTTGATCGCCTGTGCGTTTTTATTTTTTGCGCTATAAAAAAAAAGGCTGACAATTTTGAGAAAAAAAAAACAATATTTTGGACTTTTTGCTATAAAACATGTACAGTAAAAAAAATTTAAAAATCAAATATCATCATAAATTTCGGCCAAAATGCATTCTGCGACATGTCTTTGCTAAAAAAAAAAACCCCAATACGTGTAAATTAATTGGTTTACGTGAAAGTTATAGCATTTACAAATGGCGGTAAAGATACTGGATTTTTATTTTTTTTTATATACTAATAATGGCGGCGATCAGTGACTTATGGCGGTGATAAGCAACTTATGGCGGGACTGCGGCAGACATGCTGACACTGGGGGGGAACTGACTTGGGGTCACTGACATCCCCAGTGACACCAATACAGTGATCAGTGGAAAAAAAAAAAAACACTGACACTGTACTAATGGCACTGGGGAGGAAGGGGTTAACTTTTTTATTTACTGAAAGGATTAACTGTGTGAGGGGAGTGTTTTACTAGGGGGTGGGAGTGTGTACTGCACGGGAACACGCTGATCCGGAGAGAGAAATTCTTCTCTCCGGATCAGCATGTCAGGAGCTGATAGGGAACTGACAGAGAACAGAGCTACTGCTGCCCTGCTCTCTGTCAGTGATTGCCGCTAATCGGCAGGACACAGCCAGTAACGACCGGCTGTGACCCGGCGACTGACATCGGCGGCCATGATCGTCGGGACAGGTAGGGCGGTGGCGCGCCTCGCGTGTGCCCCCTACCTGTTTTGCAAACACACGTTTTAAAACGTGGTTTTGCCCAGCCGTGCCGTCCTGCCAACGTATTTCTAAAGTGGCTGGGCGGCATGTGGTTAACAGACCAAAAGCAACCTAGCTAGAGTTCATTGTTGGGATTTACATACACTTTAATGGGTTCTGGTAAATGGATTGAAATTTGAATCTATAAAAAAAAACTGGTATACTATACATGTATATTATAGTACACTTCACTCAAATATTAGCATTATGCATGTAAAATCTCTGGGGCAACATGACTGACCTGCTGTATATAATAACTTATTGATCAGCCCTATGGCTGCATTCACACTTAGGCAGTCTGAAAAAGCAATCAAAATCGTCTGTTTTCAAAAAAGTCACCTGTGTCAAAAAAGGTATTTGAGCTACTTTTGTTGCATGTAGCAAAGCCCATTCAAGTGAATAAGCATCCCTATGCTGTCGCGTAACAGACTCGGCAACCACACTAAAAAATGTTGTTGTAAATGGGGCCTAATAAATAGTGAGCAAATATAAACTTCTACACTTTACAAATCTCTCCCCCCCCCCCCCCCCTTCTTTTTTTTCTTTAAAGCAACACGATGCCGTGTCTTAAAGCACTTAAAGGTTGAAAATGCTCCCATAGTGAATCGTTTTGACTATGCACAATGTAAAAAGCTAAATATGGAACAGGTCTTGGACCAGATTCTTAGAATGCCTCCTGAGAGAAATCGAATAATCTACTTACGTCCAATGCAGCAAGTAAGTATTTTCATTAGCTAGCTCAAAATGAGAAAACAAATTGGGAATCTACAGTATTTAATATTTACCTGACACACAATGTGCAAAACATATTTACATATATAATTTTTTTAATTTTTTTTTTTTTTTTAGTTCAGGTCATAATAAAGCAAGCATTAATGAAATCACTTTGCATTCACTAACGGTAAACCATGTAAATATAAGGGTACAATCTGATTATACATTCTCCTTTAAATCTACCAATGACTATGTAGTGCTAGAACCTGATTGTACGGTCAGATTGTCACGTGTATGGTGACCATAAGAGCACCTGCATCACATACTGAGGCTTTTGCTGTCAAACTGGAGACCTGTTTTCAGCTGACAGCGGACTGAAGTCCAGGCTGGGGAAAGATCCTGACTTTAAAGTCAGCATCCATCCCAGAGTCTGGAGCAGCACCTGGCTCAGCCTCTCAGTGAAGTGCTTGGAGCTCCCTCCCCTCCACAGCCCAGCACTTCAGTGAGCACTGGGGGAAGTGGAGCAGACAGCGATGACTGACAGTCCTGCTCTCTGCTCAGAGCGGCTGTGAGAACTCTGTGATGAGCAGTCATGTGATCGCTGAGTTCTCACATCGGACCGGTGCTGCATCCACCTAGGAAAGTATAAATGGGGGGGAAAGCCCTGCTTCTCTTTTAAAAGTTTAATTCAGTGACCAAGTCTGTTCTGTTCTGTAAATTATCTCTCTATATAGAGTAGGGCCCTGTCACATGGGTGATCTGTTCAGGTACACCTTTTGGTTTTTCAGGCAGGCCTGATCGGAAAGTCCATGCATGCTTATGAACAGGCAGATGTAAACAGACACAAGTCTGTTTTACACCCACCTACCTCTGGGTCTGATCCAGTCCCCTAAAAATAAAAATGGAAGGGGATCCATTCTCTTCAGTTTAGGCTAATTGGATTGGAGGGTAGTTGGGTCTAAATGGACATTGGAGGTAGTTTACTCCTGGCCCGCCCATAGATCAGAGCGGAATCTGGTAGTGTCCGCTCTGCAGAAAAAGAGCGGACATAGATGTGTCATCTGCTCTGATCAGCAGGAGATCTGTGAGCGGGTCCCCTGCTGATTGGAATGGAAACCACCCCATGTGAAAGGGGCCTAAAGGTGGTAACAATATACAATCTAAATATACCATAATTTTGCATACTGTTAACATAGCATTGTCTCAGCAGTAAGTCAGCGGTGTTGGCTTAAAGGCATTGGACACCGACAGAAAAAATGGTGGTGGTGTTTAACCACTCTTTACTTTATCCAAAAAGTAAAAAAGAAAAACATTTATATCAGAAGTCTTGTTTTTAGCTATAGTTTTTTTTTTTTTCTTTAATTCAGTATTTTATTAAGTTTTTGTTCATACAAAAAAAAAAAAGAACCATATACTTGTACAATTCACATAAATACAAATTCTGTTCTTCTTAACGTTACCCCCTACCCTGCCTATCCTCCCTCCCTCCCCCAATCTAAATACCCCGGTCCATATCCCTTTTCCTAATTTCTATTTCCTTCCATATACTTCTACCTATATTGGTGTCCCTTCACCTCCTCCCTCCGCTCCCTCATTCCACTTCGCCATTAGACTTTTCACCTTAAACTCCAAACAAACCCAGATATCTCTTAGATCATTTAAAATCTGACCACTTATTCCACGTTTTCCTGCATGTTTCAATTTTTGTCGTCCTCCACATGATACAACTCCTCCATCCTATACCTGTCTTCAACTCGATTTTTCCAGTCACTTATTCTTGGGGCTCTGGGGCTTGCTTGGGAATTAAACCCTTAGCCGCACTAAGTAAATGATACAACACCCTATTTTTATGAAATGTCACTGAAGACTCAGAATTATAAAATAAACCTAACCACGGGTCCCTCTGTAGAGTAATCCCACATATCTCTTGAATGTTTTGGGTTATTTCCTGCCAATACCCCTGTATTTTAGGACATCCCCACCATATATGTGCCATTGTGCCCTTTTTTTTTTTTCCCACAACCTCTCTAACATAATGGTGTAACATCCAATTGTTGTTTATGTGCCACACTCGCTGTAATATTTTTAGGTATACTTTTAATTGTTGTTACCTACCAGTTTATCAAGGACCTGTAGTATGCATGGCTTTAGTTCAGGAAGTGCAGTACAGAGGGGTCAAGTCATAAAACTTAGATGAAGCCACTAATTAGGGCATGGGATAAACGTAGGCTAGAGCCCGTACATGGACATTTCATAAACCTAGGATCAAACTTATGCTTACTATTTTTTTTTTCTCAAATGCTCCTCATAGAAGCTGTGTGTTTTTAAACCGATTCTTAATAATTTTTCTTTCCAAATAGGTAGATACATTGACCTTAGAGAGACAGATATTTAGTGGACCATATCCTTACCACATCTGTATCATACATGAGTTTAGCAATCCTCCTAATGTAAGAAATAAAGTCCGTGTGCGGAGCTGGATGGACACCATAGCGAACATCAATCAGTGAGTATCTGCATAGTGTCTGCTTTCTTGATGCCTTCAGATATGGAGACAGCAGTACCAATTCCAACAAAGGAAGAGGATTTAACCTGGTTAAAAAAAAATTAGATCTGCAGTAACTATTTTTAGTTGAAAAAAAATAATTTATCTTTCTGATTTAAACTCTTTGGTTTTTCCATCAAAGCATTAGACTATTACAGTTTACTTTTCCTATCACAGCCTTTTTCTGCCCTTTTCCCATTCTCTGCTTTGATTTGTAATATCTCCTTGATCTCCTTTCCACAGAGAGCTCATTAAATACGAATTTTTTCCTGAGGCCACTCGGACAGAAGATGAAGTTAAGAAATATACAAAGTATCCTTGGGGCCGGGACATATACACACTGGAAGGTATTTATCTATTTATCTGCCCCAACCAGTAAGGAGTGTGTAAGAATTTAAAGGCAGGCAAAGGAAAGGCAAAATTTTTTTTTTTTTTTTTTTTTTGAATGGAGAGGGATTAGAACCCTTTGTCAAGTTTAATTGCTGTCTGTGCACATGTTAGGGAGATTCACCCCCTATTTGTCCTGTTTACAGTAAGTGAAATAAAAAAACAATTTTTAAGTTGACACCAGAACAAGAGTAAAGGCTGAATTCTTCCATTGGCGACACTAGTTCTAGTGATGCCCTACAATTCCCCTCACTTTGAAGGGATTTCCTCTTACTTCCTATTTCAGTTATGGATCAGGAATTGCAGGGAATTCTCCCCAGTGGGATACAGATGGCAAAAAAAAAAAATAAATAATGGGTTGCTTTAGAGATCCATCTCTTTACCAGCCGCAGTTCATTCTGTCAAGGGATCTAGCACTGTGGTCTCGCATATGCAAGAAAGTATGTGTTCATGGTGCCTATTGTAGTACTATACAAGTCTTGTAATCACAGGGGAGTGTGTCAGAATGAAAATATTATGACAGAAGTCTGTGTTTAGAAGATGGTGGAGAACTGACCTAAATATACAGTGGAACAAAAAAGGGAAAGAGTTGTTTTCTTTACTGAACTTTCTCACCACTGCACACAACTTATGTGAGCACAGTTCACATGGGACAGGGCTATGATGTGGAAGTGACATGGATATGGAAGGGGATGCATGAGCAAAGGGGATCTTGAGCTTGAGCTACACTTTGGGGAAGTGTCAGTTTCAAGTTGTGTGAAACAATTGATGTAGAGAAGAGAATAAACAATATTTTGGCAAAATAAAGGCATTGTTACTGAGTGCGTTTTTGGCCTTCTCCTTAATGTACTTAGCTGCTCACGCAAGAGGTGGTGATTGGGTCTGTTAATGGCAACCATTTTTGCTAAATAGCAACACTGCAGATTGTAAGCCATTAATCTGCAAGGGGAAAATGTTATTATTAAAGGGCACTTTCTCCAAGTAGAATTCAGTGGTGTGTGCGTGCATTTATTGCATACAGGTACACATTAATGTACATAATCCTATAAATGTTTTTTTAGATTCAAATACTTTTTTTTATTGAAGTTTTAAACGAATGCAGTTACAAAGCAGGTAACCAGAAAACAAGACAAGTTCACAGTTGTATAAATGGCTGATGCAGTATTTGACAATTCCAACATAAAATGGGGGTAAAGTCTACAAAGATTCAGTTATGTTGTGTGGGAACCATTACTTACAAGTTCAAATACAACTAAGAACCTGGGGGCAGCACAGTGGCTAAATGGTTAGCACTTTCGCCTGGCAGTACTAGGGTCATTTGTTCGAATCCCAGCCATGGCACCTCCTGCCTGGAGTTTGCATGTTCTGTCTGTGCCTGCGTGGGTTCCTACGTATACTCCGGTTTCCTCCCACACTCCAAAGACATGCTGGTAGATTAATTGGATTCTGTCTAAATTGGTTGGCCCTAGTATGTGTATGTATGAATGTAAGTTAGAGACTTTAGATTGTGCGCCCCTTGTGGGTTAGGGACTGATGTGAATGTACAATATATATATGTAAAGCACTGCGTAAATTGACAGCACTATATAACTACCTGAAATAAATAAAATAAAGAAGATAGGAAATACAGGAACAACTGTAGAAACTAACAAAGTTGAACATTATACCACTCAAAGTATTATTGTATACTCCATAATGGGTGAGCTATCAGATTCGAACCATACATTTTGGATTGTGTGACCATAAAAATTTAGGTGTAAGAAATGCTGTTGAGGATAAACCTCTTTTCCATATCACACTGGAAATTTAGATCACTAATTATCATAGCTATGTGAGCAACTTCCACAACCTGTTAATATTATTTTTGGCTGCATATAATATATGAATTATAAAATGTGAGTTAAGGGGGAATCTTTCTAGACCAATATGAAATAGTTCTAGTGGGGTCAGGGCTCACTATGATTCCTGTTACTTTGGAAATTACTGTAAAAACACTGTTCTAGAAGGATTTTAGTGATTTACAAGACCATAGTAGGTGAAGGAGAGAGCCTATTTCTCCACACTGATGCCATTGCGAACAACAGGTGGAGTAAATTTTGGATAATCTGACAGGTGTTAAATACCAGTGGTGGAGGAGTTTTGGATAGACAGGATCCTCAATGTGTAGCGCAATGTGAGGATTTATATGTAAGAATGAAGGCTTTGCGCCAGGTTTGGTCTGGAATTGATTGGGAAAATATCAGTTCCTAGTTTAAGGACGTTGTTCTTAGATTAAATTGTAACTAAATAATGTGGAATAGAACAGGGAAATCTCTCTTCCTGGATATTTAGGATTGTTGAACTATTGGAACACTGGGGTCTGAAGAGTGGTGGTAGACAGAATGTTTTTAGATTGTATGCAATGGATAATCATCATATGAGTAAAATGTTCCGAAGAGGGTAGAGGTCGTTGGTGTGTAAAAAGTGATTCAAAGAGTGATTGGAGGGTCATTTGCCAGATGACGTGTCCAGGTGGACGTTTCCAACTATATTGAAGTCTCCTCCTGTAATTAAGTGGCCCTTGTGTGATGAAATCAAGGCATGTAATTTTTTGAAAAATTGGATTTAGTTTGAGTTTGGTCCATATATATTGACTAGGATGTGTTGGATATTGTTAATGACGCAGACCAGGATATGAAAGCGGCCCTGAGGGGTCTCTAAATTCAGAGGTTAGATGAAAGTTCATCTTATCTTTTATTGCAAACAAAAAAATAGGAATGCGCTGTGAATTACTAAATATACATCTATAATCAAAAGTCCACATAAATAAAGTCACTTCAAAATTAGTGCACAAAAATTTTTTCAAAATCGATGCAAAAAATATATATTTTGTATAATTGTGCTCATAATCCACCACCAGAAGAAATAAATAAACTCACCAGAGCTTTTTGCTGATTAATTAAAACCAGCAAAAACGCTGTTGCTCTGGGAGCAGTGAAGTATCCAGGTGGCAAAATCAATACTCTGTATTGAAGAGGGATATCCAAGATTGGGAGCAATACTCTGCAACAGAAGCATCAAACCAGCACCTGGGAACCTTTTATTAAACGTATCCTTCAGTCATAGTCAAGGAGCCACACTCGGGAATAAAGAAAGAGGTGATGGTGCAGCGAGTTTAAAACATCATGTTTATTCAAAAGTAAGTAAAACACTCACAAATAAGGTGTCACACCGACACCAGCATTATAGGCAGTCAGCAATACCATCAGATTGCAATCAGCGAGCAAACCCGCTTACCACGGATACCTCCGCTAGACAGCAGGGAACGTCCTGACGTCACGACATCCAGGCTCCGCCCTACGCGTTTTGTGAGGACGTCATGTGTGACAAAACGCGTAGGGCGGAGCCTGGATGTCGTGACGTCAGGACGTTCCCTGCTGTCTAGCGGAGGTATCCGTGGTAAGGGGGTTTGCTTGCTGATTGCAATCTGATGGTATTGCTGACTGCCTATCATGCTAGTGTCGGCGTGACACCTTATTTGTGAGTGTTTTACTTATTTTTGATTAAATATGATGTTTTTTAAACTCGCTGCACCATCATCCTCTTTCTTTATTCCCGAGTGTGGCTCCTTGACTATGACTGGAGGATACGTTTAATAAAAGGTTCCCAGGTGCTGGTTTGATGCTTCTGTTGCAGAGTATTGCTCCCAATCTTGGATATCCCTCCAATACAGAGTATTGATTTTGCCACCTGGATACTTCACTGCTCCCAGAGCAACAGCGTTTTTGCTGGTTTTAATTAATCAGCAAAAAGCTTTGGTGAGTTTATTTCTTCTGGTGGTGGATTATGAGCACAATTATACAAAATATATATTTTTTGCACCAATTTTGAAGTGATTTTGAAAAAAAATTTTGTGCACTAATTTTGAAGTGACTTTATTTATGTGGACTTTTGATTATAGATGTATATTTAGTAATTCACAGTGCATTCCTATTTTTTTGTTTGTATTATTCACCTTGATTGAGGTTTTAGGTTTGCTGCGGTTTTTGTATATATTTAAATTAATTTTTGGTGCTTTTTCTTTCTTTTTTGATTTATCTTTTATTGCAGTCATAACTCCGTTCTTCTTTTTGGGGTTTGAAGCTAGGTATGAGGTAGGAACATGTTTCATAGTGAAGTGGGGAGTCTTTGTAGTAGCAAAGTGGGTTTCCTGGATGAAGATGATATCCGCTTGGAGTGAATGAGCTTCTTTGACAATTGATGATCTTTTGTACCGGGAGTCCCCAAACGTTAAGGGATACTATTTTAAGTGCCATATTTGTAGAAGTTGAGGCATATAGACTGGTTCAAAGGGTTTACTTCAAGTAGGTTTAGAGGAGTCACATTATGCATGAGCGGTGTGTCAATATTTATGATGGCATGCATTCGACGAGGTAGAGGTAGTAGGTTGAAGGTCTTAGGAGGAATGGTAAGGTCACACAAGAGTGATTTCCGTGGTTTAGTTTGCTGGAAATTTCATAGTAAATATAAGCGTATGTGAGACTGGTAGTACCAACGTAAAATACGAGAACAAAGAAAATATAAAAAAATCTTGTTATAAATACAAGAAATATGGGTAGCATAAACCGCTACTGTTGAGTGGGGGTAGTTTAGTAACCATGGCAATAGCAGGTTGTCATGGTGGTATGCACCTTTTTTATTCCTAAAATTTAGTGGATTAGGCCAAGGCATTCCAGCTACAAGTATTAGACAGATTTTAAGTAGGATTACCGAAGGGATATTAGGTCACGATCAGATACAATCCCCTTTCATGTGGTGAGGTTGGTTAGGAGTGCACTGATGGTCGTCTGCAGGTAAGATATTCCAATCTCTGAGTAGGTCAACACCTGCTTCCAGACATCTAATTGTGAAAGACTTGCCCTGTCATTTGATAGTGAGTTTACTGGGGAAACCCCACTGGTATCCTATGCCATTATTGCGT